TACCGCACGGGACGGGAATGAAATAAAACGTTTATTCTTAACTAAAAACTAATCAACAATATTCATTAGGTGCCAAATTTCACTTACATATCTACCGTAAACATCTGGTAACTAAATCACAATTATTTAAACAATTAAGGTGGGTAATATTCATAAGAAAACTGTATTATACCTTAACTGTACTATACATTTAACAAAAGAGTGACAAAGGAAATTTATGTTGCGGAAGTGAACGGCAGGGTCGAGAAGGGACGCCCTAGACGAAGGTTTATCGACCAAATCGGCGATACATTAAAAATGGGCCAGATTAGGAGTACCCTTAACCGACGAGCGTGTATGCGTAGATATATGGATGTAAAAGAGGCGAGAGAGGTGTGTCAGGATCGCGCCAAATGGAAGTCCGTAGTCTCTGCCTACCCCTCTGGGTGACAGGCGTGAGTGTTTATGTATTATGTATGTATATGTACATTTAACAAAAATACTCTCTTGTATTTTTCACGTTCATTGTAAGAACCGATATTGAAACAATCATTAAAATGTACGGCATCAAGACCTTATAAAACACGATAGGTACGCTATACATTTTTTCAATTTAATTATGGATTTTGATAACCCACTTGAAAGAGTTATCAAAATTCTTGTTAGGTGCATAGGTACTGTAATTAAGAATTATATCTGACAAATAACCAACGACACATAAAATTATTAATAATCTTCAACAAATTGTTGATTTGTGACATGAGCGACAAATATTTGGTTAAGCAATCAAATTATAAAAATACTTATTATTAGGTATAATAATTAAGGTAGACACTGCGATTTGAAGGTTGGGGTTCATTTTGAGAAATGACAATAAATTTTGTAATAAATAAAAGTTGTATCAATAAATGATTCAAAATCTTTCGCAATGTCACAATGAAATATTATAAGTGCTAGAATTCTTAATTTTAAGTTGTTCATCAACAGCGAAATGCCGTTTCCTGGAAATCCTCAGATTGTTAACATTTATACTAATGTCTGAAAGAACCGTAATCTTCTTGGATTCCGCTATAATCTTTTTCACAACAGGTGGGTGAGATTCTTTTTGGTCCGGGTCTTGAATCAAGTTTATAAAGCCTAAATGTTTGCCATGTAAACATGGACTTGGTATACACCATACAAGACAAGCAACCTAAGCTTCTAGCAGCCATGACAGGTGTTTTAGTCTCCCATAAAACCGGATGTATACGTAATGTACCCTTGAAAGAAGGAACTGTGACAGGCTATAACGCTTCTATATTCATATTATCAACTTGGTCAACAACTTCAATTTGATTGTTGCTATTGCACTGTCTCAAAGCTGTTGGAAAGTCTGCAAAATTACCAAAGTCACGACCGTGACTAACAACACGATCCATTCTAGTTTTTAAAGAACCGCCTACACCATCTGGTGCACCTTTACCATGTCCAGCCTCACTATAGTTCCATGTAATACATTAAGTCCATAAAATTCTTCATGTAATTTAGAAATCATGTAAAAAGTAAATTTATTGCGGTACTGACTAGTTGGACCGTCAGACATAAAATGAATGTAGTAAGGGTTTAAGTGTGCCCAAATAGCAGTAGCGTGGTCTAAAGATTGGCTAACAGTGCAAAATGATCGGGCAATTATTACCCCAGTTAATGGATTACAAATGTATACAACTGATGTATGTAGACTAACATGTTGTCGACTACCACCAAAGTGAAGTAACTTGACCTCTTCAGCGTGTTTGAGAGTATAATTCTCTCACTCCACTCACTCTCACTCCAGTCACAATGGATAATAGCCTTGGTCATTTTTAGATTTGATTTGATTTCATTTAAAGATTTGTAGTGAACAAGAATATTTTGAACATGTGAAAGAAATTTCTCAAGAGACCCTTCTACTTTCGACTGCTCTAGCAGGCTCTACAAATTTAACTTTAGAAATTAATGACTTGGAGTTTTCTTTCTTAGTAATCCATTGTTAGTAATCTACTCTTGTTGAATAATTAAACCCTAAATACGTAACACTCTTATTCTTGCAAGACCCGCATTAAGACAAACGACCTAAGCATTTTTCGTCATATTCATTGCAGCACAAAGATTTAAGCTGTTGACTTGCATTACTTTCTGACATAACCCTAGCTCGATGTAAGCCAGAAAACAACAATTCCATATTTGAATGGGTCTTACATAGTTACATAGACAAGTGTCTCGTGTTTTTCGTGGGAAACATATCCAAAACAGTCTTAGCCTATAAAACGAGGAATAACTCACGCGTATTCTAGGATAATCATTCTTAATTTTTTTTAAATATCAGTTAATGTACCTGACAAATACCTTTTTGCTTTTCTTACATCAGACTTTTTAATATACTGATTTTCTGCCAGATGCTATATAACTAATTGTATTGAACTTAAAAAATCTCAATTATATTTTTAAGCTTTTCTTTATAAGAGGCAACTTGTTTCTTCTTGTTAACTTCCTTGTTATCTTTATTATCTTTATTTTTATTTTCTTCTAAAGATTTTATAAGCTTTCTGTATTTTAAATTTTGTTTCTTTAAAAATAATATAGTTTGCCTCAATATTTAATTGTCTTTATTCATTTGGTATCGCAGTTTTCTAATGTTGGTTTTACATAGACAGTTGCTTGATGTAGGAGATGATAGATTACTGGTAAGCAAGGGATCATTACATTCATCTAAACTATGTGTATTCAAAATACTTTTTTCAATTTTCTCAATAAAGACTTGCGTCGTTGCTCTTTCCTTCCTTTTCTTCTCTAAATATTTCTTTGAGTTTTCCCTCCATTTTGCACGTTGAGCTCTTTGTTTACACCTATTCATTGCTTTCACGAATATTTTTATTTTCTTCTTTTTTGTTCTAGATATTTCTTTCGGTTTTTTTTCAATTTGATACAGTCCCTTTGGTATAATCGTTGTCCAGTTCGTTTTTCTTCAGAGGAATTCTTTGATTTATTCATTTGTGATCTGGAACAAAAAATATTAATATTTATAAGTAACAAATTAAAACAATTATATTTTAAAATAAAGATAATAATAAGGAACTTATAACTATTCCTCGTAAAATTTTTTGACAAAGGTATTTCTCTTGCCTATGATTATAGGGTATTTTATGCCTTCATCGGCGTGTGCGTTTCCTAATCTGCCGCCCACCCTGACGATATTCCGTTCATCAATGTATGGGCTTAGGGTCTTCAATATGCTCGTAGTCTTCACAGGCTTGTAGGCCTTTAATCTTCTTATCTCGTCTGAAAATTCTTCTTGTTGTACTTCTGTTACACAAATATCTAAAGCATTTTGCATTTCTTCTACAGTCAATTCAAAGTCTAGAATCTTTAGATCCCTGTTCATATTTAGAAATCTTTTACAAATTAATATTACTCTCAACAGCTCCGTAAGTGTATTATATTCTTCAAAGTTAATTATTTTTTTCTCACAATCCGTAACATGAACATAGGACTGTATGGCTTTTTTACTTTCCATTTGTGTAGGTGTTATTGAAGGTTTAGTAAACTCAATATGTTTTTTGGCGAGCCAAGTTAGTCCCTTCCACTATAACGTTTCAGCTGTAGCTCTGATGTTAAAGCACCCCTTGAAGCTATATCAGCTGGGTTGTCTGACGACTTCACATGATACCATTGGGAGACGCTTGTTTGCTCCAGTATTTCCACTACCCGGTTTGCAACAAATGGCTTCCACTACTTTTTACGACAATAGTTTGCAAATTTCATTAGAAAAACAAATTAATAAAAAGTAAACCTTTATCACCAGGATTAGTTTTGTTTCAATTTTTGTGATAAGCTAATATGGACGGTGAATTTGGACGACGTATATTTCCTAAAACATTTATATACTAGTTGAGCTCAGTATCAAATATAAATATGTACTTAATGTCGGCCAAAATTATACATTATACATAATATTATACATCTTCTAAATAAAAACCAAATTTATTATTAAATTAAATAATTTATCATTCCCCTCGAAAAAATTCATTCTCCTCATAAGTTAAGGTAGAGGGAATGAGAATTTCACTAAAAAACACGAAACGAGCAATAAAATCGTTCGAATTATGAGAGAAAAAGTAGCGCCTTAATAGTTTCTTACTACCATTTAAATAATAAAAAAATCATATTGTCATGATTAAGTATACTTACTGAGATTTGAAGTACTTTAAGAATGAAAATTACTTGGATAGACTATGTACAAAGAACAATCTGGCACTATTTCGTATAGACAAAACACGTGCGTTCTTCTACGGTGGCTTGCGACAGCTGTTTGAAGAAGCCCCGAACATTCGATGTGAGTAACGGTTGCGGTGCGCGGGAGGCTGCTGAATTAAAGCCGTGTTCACAATTTGTTGGGGTAATGAACAAAATGGAATTATAATTTTTTTTCTTTGGATTCTTAGCCCTTTAAAGATTAAAAGAAATAACAAAGTTATCGATATGTTATTCAGGCCTTATTAATAATATCAAAATAAATTAGTTTGATGTGATTTTTAGAACAAAAACATATAAGTCGTGAAGAACAATGTATAACTACTGAGAAAAATCCTAGGATAGTGAAAAAAATGCCCATTTTCCTTAAAAAAATTAATAACGAAATATGTACACAAATGTCATACCTGCCCTTTTTAAACAAAAAGTTGGAAACAATACATGTAGTACTTTTGTTTATTTAATATATGTCCATTTTATGATACTTAAATGGATAAATCAGTTTTATTGCGTGGTAATCACTCAACTACGCTCTTAATATCAACTCACAGGATATTCACATATTTACATGCAGTCAGATGAAATTCATAATTGCAGCATACAAATGCGTTGAAAATGGTAATTTTTTAATTAGTATTTGCTTATAGTTATAGCAGTTTAATAGTTTAGTTATATCATCTCATTGGTAAATGTAACTGTAATGGTGTTACTATTATGTCATAAATAAATAAATGAATAAAAAAAATTGGCAGGGTGGCAGCGGTCCGTGCTGCAACGAACCGCATAGCGACGCGGCTGCGCAACCTGCTGCTGGAGCCGGGCGTGCGCCAGGTGTCGTCGGGCGCGCTGCACCAGCTGGACCTGGACGTGATCCAGTGCGAGCAGTTCGCGGCCGGCGAGCCCGTGCCCGGCCTGCGCGAGGGTGAGCTGCTGGAGCACTTCGCTGCGCTCAGGTATGCTGCTGACACTGCTCATATATTTATATATTATGTTATGGTTGTAGTACGAATGGGTCGGTTGGACAGGGATTTTAATCACGTTCTCACAGAATACCAGCGTAAAATAGCAGCTTACTGCTATGGAGAGTGTAGAGAACAGAAGATCCTTTTTACTGGAAACGAGACTTTCCATCTTAGTCCTCAAGCGTGACAACGCCAGGTGCGCATTATAATCCTTAATCGATTGATAGATAAAGATATCTATTTGCCAAAGCATACATACACTAACCATTAGGTGGACTCTGTGCTCGTTTGTTACACTTATTCTAAAAAAATAAATTTTTATAATATTATGGTTTTCACCCTAGCCCGCTGTACACGATTCTCCCACTAAATTTCCGGTTGGCTGGTAGAAATTGCCACATTATAACATTAAGTCCGCCATTTATATATGTAATTTGTCCGCAGGCAACTACTGGATCTAATAACAGGTTGGGATTGGTCGTCATATCTTCACGACGTGGGCATTGAAGGGGGGAAATACGCATTAGTGACTCCGCGCGACGCCGCCACCTTACTCGAGAAACTCAAGGAGGCGGAGCAGAAATCTTCTGTCTTCTCCGTATTGAAGAAGAACGAGAGAGACAGGCGAAAGCTTTTGGACACTGTGCTGAAACAGTTGAAGCAGTTGCAAAATCAAGATGGTTAAACATTGAAAACAAGATTAGGTTGCGACACCTTGACCTTGGTGGTATTATATAATTATGATGATAACGTTGATGATCATTAAGAAATTACCACATAATTTAAAGTGTATTTGTTACTTTTAGTAGTGTCTCAAACTTGGTCGGTATTAAGAGGGCATAAGAGATTCGCGTCGAAAACTTAATATTTTAGGGTTTTTTCAAGGGCGATATCGTAACGATGTGAGCAGATTATGTGCAGAAAGTTACAGCTTCAGAAAGATGAAGTCTTTATTTTTAGTGTACAGAGCAAAAACATAATTTTTAATGACGGTTTTTTAGAGCGAAGACAATCCCTCCATAGCATTTTACGAAAATATGTGTCAGATTTATCATCGTTCAGGTCGTATACAACCAAATAAAATACTTCATTTCAAGCGTTATTCTAACGGAATATATGGTCTTGAAGTACAACAAAGAACTTAAATTACGAAAATATTTCGATTTAATATTAAAAATCAATATTTTAAAATCACTTAAACTGTCCACTTCGTTGACATTTTTTGTGTATTTGAATATTAACTTATCGATCTGTATATCGATATAACGTCATCATTTGCATGAGGTACTGGGATAAGTCCCAAATTTAAGTACTGACGGTTGGACGACGAAAAAACACAAATTTTGTAGCTGCTTTTGTTGCTACATTTTAATATATATCGAAATTGATACGAATTCGATACTCTAAAATAAATATCGATATATAAAAACATCGACGATATATGTCGATATTTTTTGCCTAAGCCTGCCTCCCAACGGTAGAACGTATCACTTTTTCCCGCCACCGCTCGCGTTCGACTTGATGCACACCTTGAGATCATTCACTGCTGTTCCTATACAATTTCAATAGATAGTTCGTAAACCGTATTTCAATTGACATACCCAACTACCTTATAATGAACTAATATCAAATAGAGGACATCGGCTCCCTATAGTTTCTAAATCGTCTAGAAAGAGAACATGCTATTTTTACGTTATAAAAGAAAAAAAAATGGCATGACATGGGCATTTGATGGAATATTTTCCTCTCACATCAAATGAAATTTAAAGATATTATAAAGAAATCAAGAAGAATAGACATTAATAGAGTTTTGGCGGCGAGTTGACGTTCGGCGGATTATTGTTCCAGAATAGTAGTTTCAAGTCCATTATTTAATTCAACAACCGTCACCATATAACCATTCTTTAGGATTATTTTAATACGTAAAAGTGGTGCGATTTTGTGTACCTATTTAATGTCTGCGCATGTTAATATCTATATACTGGGTGGCGCATAGGTTATCACGTTAAATAGCACAGTAGTTAATACAAGTTGATATATGTTTGTTAAAATAATAAAATATACAATAATTTTTTTTTTATAGAAGACGGGGCAAACGAGCATGCGGCTCACCTGATGGTAAGTGACTACCGCCACCCATGAACAACCGCAACCCCAGGGGAATTGCAGATGCGTTGCCGGCCTTTTAGAAAGGTGTAAGCTCTTTTCTTGAAGGTTCCTAAGTCGTATCGGTCCGGAAAATTCGCTGGTGGTAATTGATTCCACAAGGAAGTTGTGCGAGGGAGAAAACTTCTTCTAAATCGCACAGTGGTGGACCGCCAATCATCCAGATGGTATGGATGGTAACGCGAGTTTTGTCTGTTGATAATATTAGTTCACTGACCTGAAGTGACTTGTAAAAGCGGCAACGTCGCGGCCAGCGGTTCAGTGCTCACGCGACATCGACATGGGTACTTACAATACCTACACTTACCCATACATAGGTAATTAGGCACCCGTAGGGCGATGCTAATCCGATGTTATCAACAAATCACAAATTTCATGGTATTTTTTTTATCCAAATAATCACGTTAATCTTGAAATCACTCAAGTTTATTAACAAATTATATTTTTAAATTTACAATATGTCCGCCGTGTACCCGAACGCATAATTGACATCGTCGCATGATATTATTTCGGACTTTTCGAAGTAGGTCACCATTGGCTGCAAAAGTTTTTATTTTGTCGAAAGCCCGTATTATTCTTATTTTTAAGTCCTCGACAGTCGTTACTTCAGTAGAGTACACCTAATTTTTTATGTAACTCCATAAAAAAAATCTAACGGTGTTAGATCCGGAGACCGTGCTGGCCACCGAGAAGGTCCGTATCGGCCAATCCATTTCTCTTCGAACATGAACGTGAGGTGCTGCCTGGCAGCCACCACTGAATGAGCAGGTGCCCCATTAAGCTGATACCATAACCGGCTATTGGCCCCCAACGATAGTCCATCAACGTAATCCGCCACTGCGCAGTTCCAAAAATTTAGGCCCATTAATGTTGCCTTCGATAAACACGGGACCAATTATTTGATCTCCGTGTATTCCAGCCCGAACATTAACGGCAAATCTATATTGGTGCACAGACTCTCGACACAGCTGCGGATTTTCTTGACTCCAATATCGTAAGTTCTGCCGATTCCATATTCCGTTGCGCGTGAATGTGCTCTCGTCAGTCCACATTACGTTTGCTAAAAAGTTAGAGTCATTAGCTACTTTGCTCAGGAGCCATTCGCAGTAGGCTTCCCTGACTGGCTTATCTCTATCTAATAAAGCCTGTACCTTTACGTATTTGAACGGCCATTGCTTGTTTTTTTTTATATTCTGTGAACAGACTTGTGGTGTACACAGAATTGGCGAGCTGCTCTACGGGGCGGGGACTTGACGTTGGATTACGAGCGAAATAATTTAATATATGTTCTTCCTGAGCCACGGCGACTCGCGGAGGAATTTCAACCTGACACGGGATTAAATGTTCGCCGTCACGTAATCTTTGGACTGCCCGTATAAAAATCCGTGAGTCTGTAGGACATACACGTGTGGTATTATACCTCTCTCGGTATGTTCGTAATGCCAGGGACGCGTTTTGGTGGCATTCTCCGTAAATTAAAACCATATCGGTATATTCCAATGACGTAAAATTGATACGAGTCATTTTAAAACTTAAAAAAAGTTATACGTTAAAAAAAATAAAAGCGTCCAATTGCGCACGGACTGTCACACCACTAAGTTATTAAATATGTCTATCTTTTATTAACGAGTCCTATCACAAATAAAAATACAATACAGTAAAGAAAGCGTCCAATTTCGCACAAACAGTCACACCACCTTTTTAAAACAATTATTATTATAGTATTAACGTGTCCTATCATAAACAAATCAAGAAACTTATGAAAATATCCACAAAATGACAAAACCAACTTTAAATTAAAAGGACGTGAACGCAAAAAACTAAAATAAGGTCAAGCGACTCATGAACCATCCCTAAGGACGCCGGCGTCGGACTAAGTGATTTACTGTCTTACTTTATCGTCACACGCGCCAGTCGACAACACGCACCCTCCCGACAGCCCGTCCCAATTCTTGTCACATCGCGCATAGAGAATTATACCTTAAGTCGTCCATTTTAAGTAAATTTTTCGCTTAGATTTTTTTTCACACACCCGCAGCGCGCAGTCTCTTCGTTTTTAATTTCGCGCATAAGAATTATGCCTTATATTGTTAGCCATAAGTACATTTTTTGCTTGATTTATTACTTTATTTGACTACTTTGAATTGGCAACGTTTGAACTACGTATATTCGCCTTCACGGGCCATGGGTCTTTAAATTTCTAGTATTCATCAGGTGATATCTGATGCATTTACATGATGTTGTTTAATATTAAAACGAAAAAAAAAGCCACCGCGACTAGAATGTTAATTGATATATTTTTTTTAAGTTGTGTATATTTAAATAATTTTGTGTAAGGATACGTCTTTTCATTTAACGTGATAACTTCATCGTCACTGTATATCTAACTATAGCCGGCCAAGTGCGAGTCGGACTCGCGCACCAAGTGTTCCGTACCATGGTAATACACGTTTCTAGTAAGGGAACCCTTTTAATTTTTTTATTATTTGTTGTTATAGCAAAAACATAAATACACTTTCTGTGTAAATTTCAATTGTCTACCTATTACGAATAATGAAATATAGCCCGCTGACAGACAGACGGACGGACGAACGGACGGCAGCGGAGGCTTAGTAATAGGGTCCCGTTGGTAGTACAGAACCCTAAAAATGGACCGTGTAATCAATTATACAAGTAATACTAGTTGTAGTGATATTAAGCATTTATAGCATGTTAGAGTTAGAATATATTGTTATTTATTAAAGAATAAAGTCTATAAAATTTTGATTGTATTTTTTTTAATTCGCTCTTGCTCGTTAATGAGTTGGCAAGATCAGGAAAGAAGCACCCCTATACAGAAAACTTAAAAAAGGGCCTGTCAAATAGCAGAATAACTTTCATGGGACGTTTAGATTATCGGACGAACAACTCGTCGAATGACTCGCTGACTATTTGTGAACGAGTATGATGCGTTTAAATATTTGTCTATATTCATTCAACGTAGTATCTTTTAAACATGGATGACGTGCGTCTCGTTGATATGTCTACTTAACATTTATAGACTCACAAATATTTATTTTTATCAATATTTATTTATTTTGCACGTGGTAGAGCCACGCTGCAGCTATATTGTGGTTGTAGCACGAATGGGTCGGCTCAACCGGGGTAGGACCACGCTCTCACAGAATACCAGTGTAAAATAGCAGCTTAACGTTACTGTCTCGTATGATGAGTGTAGAGAACCGGATACCCTTTTTAATGGAAACGAGGCATTCCATCTTATTCGTCATGGGTGAGAACGCATCTGCATTTTGATTCTTAATCGGGGGCAAATGTAGATGTCTATGGGCCACAGCATCCACTTACCATCAGGTGGCTCGTGTGCTGATTTGTCACCCATATTCTATTTTTATGATTATTAAAATATTTAAAACCGGTTTCTAGAATCGCATATCACGGGTTCTCCTTAATAACCTTCTAAAAATTTAATAATGGATTCGTTACTCCAATCCATCACGTAGCATATTATGTGTAATAAAA